CTCTTCCATTTATGAAATGCCTTATTTCGTTTTGCTATTGCCATCCTAATATCAATATTGAACCATGGGTTTTCCTTCAGTCTTACTTTTTTCTTTTTAAGTGGTACGTGTCTGTTATATAGGTAGTTGATGTTCGTTTCTAGCTGTTGAATTTGACAGTCTATTGACGTTAAGCAAAAAATATAGTTCCAGTTTATTAAGTCAAAATCATGGGCAAGGCCGTTGTAATCTATATTTCTAAAGTCACGGAATTCTATGCAATGGTCAGTGTAGTCTGGGTAGGTATTATAAGTCAGGAAAATGAGGTCATGTTTAGAGTAGGCTGGTGCTGCCAATTGGTCATATTTTAAAATTTTCTCAAGATTGTTAACGAAGAACAAATCAATGAGCGTATTTGTCGAATTTGTAAAATGTGTAGGATTTGTAGAATTGACAAGCGCTAGTCCTATCGATTTCATATTACCTAAGAGTCGATTGTCTTTCAACATGTCACAGTTAAGGTCACCAGTCAGAATGATGTCAGTAAAATCAGAGGCAAATGTCGATATAAGGTCTATCAAATGAGAAAAGTCAATATTATTGTTAGGTCGGTATATACAGCCTATTAATATTTTACTATTATCTGGTGCATTCTTAATTCGAAGGAAAATGTACTCCATTGGACTATCAGGGGGCTTTGGCAATGTACAGACACATTAAGTTTTTTGTTTACATATATTGCAACACCTCCACCACGACTAGGACGATCCACTCGAAACACATTATAACCATCACAATATATTAATACGCTACATAGATTAGGTAAAAACCATGTCTCAGACACACATATAATATCGACATTAGAGTTAACAAACATAAATCTAAATTCATCTATTTTTCTCTTTAGGCTTTGTGCATTTATATGGCATACGTGTAGGCCAGGCTTTCGACTAGCAAGTATACGAACTAAAGTTTCACTGTTCGCATTGGATTTTGCGTTAGCTGAAGTCATATTGGGTAGTTATAAATCCTGTTAAATATTTGTTAGTGTACAGCATAATGAACATTTTTAGATAATAATATAAGCTTAATAAAATAGAAAAAGAGTTAACACGAGTGTGATTAAGGAAAATAAAAATAAAAAGGGAGAAATTGTGTTCGTTGATTAAAGAATAGTAGTTACTATTAAGAGCGAAAAGAGTGAGTGCTACTGTTTATGGGATCTCTTTTCTTCCAAGCTAAAAGTTCTTGGTAGCTTTCAATTGCAAAGATCTTACTGGTTTCATGCTCTTTAATGTGCACCGCTCCCCTCCGCGCAAAAACTGCAACAAGCTGCTTATTCTTTTTCATGCGCATGGCCTCTTTGAAAGCCTCGTACGCACCTTTCGGAAGCTGCTCATTAATATAAACTACAGCAGGAGAGTCAATGCCGAAGTGCTTTAGAGTCAGCTGCTGCTTAGTTTCTCTTCGGTATGCCGCCGTTGCTCTTAGAATGCACATTGGGCGGAAACGCCGATTTTTTGGCATAAATTCCAATTTTAGAGATACTGGGCTCAAATTTTGCATATAAACTATTTTTGTCGAATTTCGTATTTTGTTGTTTTTGGTATTTGACCACGCCTATGCCCGCCGCCCACATCAACAGTGGACCATATGTCCATTTTTACTTACTTTTTTCATAAACTAAAGTTTTTAATAAATAGAACTACAACTTTTACTAAATATGCTTCCATTAGTTATTAAATTTAATATTTTTAACATTTTTTTTTTTTTTAATTCCATATTTATTTCTAACAAAAATTTTTTTTATAATTCTACATCTAAATCAAAATCAAACATATTTTTAAATTCAAAATCGTATTCCATATTGCCTTCTTCGTCAAATGTCGGTGATTCCAAGAGCTCAATAACTTTTTTCGGTAGAGCTTGTATCCTGGATTTTCTATGTAAAGAGATTCCGGATAGATACGGATCAGAAGAATCCAGAGCTCTGTGGAAAACGTCTGTCAAGTTATTTATCCTACTGTTTTTTCTCGCATGAAATAGTCTATCACGCTTATAATGCTTATTACGCGCCTCAGAAGCATTTTCTCCCAAGCAACCGACAGGAAGTACCGAACATATAATAATATCCGCGCCGTGAACTAAGAGCTTGTGAACGGTAGCGGTCGTCGGATACCATGGATATTTATTTAGGTGTAAGATAAGGGTTTCTTCACAGAATTTCTTAAACTTAATGGCATTAGTTTTAAATTCGCAGGAAATGACAATTAAAATTGTTTGAAGATTTGTTAATAACGTTTCATCTACATCTAGAATTGATGCTAATAATGGCACATTTGAAAATGCTCTTCGCGCCGTGTTGCCGTCATTAGAATTTCCAGAGCCGTTTGGACTGGGTTTGTTTATATGTAGTCCCATTTCCGTCCATAATCTCTTCTCAATTATTTTTTTTCTTGCCAACATCTTGTCCTTATCAGAATCATTATTTACTCGCCATTTTTGAAGACCCACTCGGTATGATATATTCAAAACGAACTCAAATAATCGAATCCATGCGTGTAGAGGACTAACTCCGAACTGCAAGGCATCCGGGTTTGGTTCAAAAACCTTACTGTTAATATCAGTTATTTTAGAAAGTCCTTTGGGCCTGCTCCACAAATCGGACATGATTGGGTGGACCTTGTCCCCGTTAAAGTATTCAAAACTTTGCCATCTATAAGCGTCATGCGTAAGTCGTATGAAACTTCCACTTTAAGAGGGGCTTCTTCATATAAAAATGTTTTTAAATTGGCTATTTGTAAATCCAAACTATTTTTTGAGTTTAAAATATGTTCTCGACTTTCCTTAGTGAATTCAATCTTTAATGGCCTGCAATACCTGACGGACTGTGGGTTTCGATTTCTCCAGATAATTCGTCCCATTTGATCAGTCATTTCAAGAGGAATTATTGTCGTCACAAATAAAGATTGGTCAAGGCTTTTAGGTTCTACTTCATTAAATCGTTGCTTGTAAATACTTTGTCCTGTCGAACCATCAAATCCATAGCTTACGGTTAACTTCAGTTTATTTATATTAGAAAATTGTTCAAAGACCGGGGTTTGAAATAAAATAATTCTTGAAACAGTATGGTCTAACAAGTTCTGCAACGGCACTTCAGCAACAGTTTCTGATACTTGTATTGCAAGTGGCCTGCTCTTGTTTTTAGCTTCCTTGACCTTTTCATAGCTAGGAAAAATATTGCAATTTTTTTTATATTCATTAATCTAATGTTAATATATTGTTGCTTTGAGAAGGAGTTCTCAATAAGGAATGCCAACGCCTCATCTGCTGACAGTAAAATTGGTGTAGAACTCTTCGAATGACATTCATTTGCATTCAATTTTGTCTTTAAAATCCTGGACGTTTCCTTATCTCCGGACTTCTTTGCTGACATGGCAGCTGCATGTATAAGAATGTCTTTTGAATTTTCCTTCGAAAGTTTTGAAGCCAACATTCTTTTCAAACGAGCTCCTCCTTCTTCGAAAGCTAATTGGGGTCTTCCCCTCTGTTTTGTGGCATGATCCTCCTTGGGCAGAAATGATATTTCTGCCGCTAGCCAGCTTTTATTTGCCTCCTTAAAACGTTCCATATGCCTATTACTTTTAATTAATAGCTTTTTAACATGGGCAACAAAATTTTGCAATTGTTTCTTTATGCCATTTTAAGCGTCGGTAGATAAGCAATTTTTGTTTATTTTATCGCATAGCCAATCAAAAGTAGCGTCAATACTGCGTTCCCTGCCCAGCCACACATCCAACAAATCGGATCGACGAATGTTGAGTTGTCCTAAAACTATTCAAATATTTTTAATTTGCGCAAGTATGCGCAAAAGGTGTTAACTTTATTTCAATATACATAGAATAACACATTCAACCTCATTTGCAGTTCACGTAATACGACGTAATATCATTAGTTCTAGTCCACGAAACACAAGCATTTTGGGGTTAGGTTCCATATAAAACATGTATATATAAATCAACTAAATATAACATAACACAAACACATACATAATTTTGAAACTTTTAACAGTATTCTACATACCTTGATGTCTATTTTCCATACTTAAGATTCAAAATATGCACTGTGCTTTAATAATTATAAATAAACAAACGTTGGCCACGTGAAAGAGAAAAAGTTTGGAACACATAACCTAGAACAATCAGCTGACTTTAAATGGCTACCAAAAAGCCACGGATGGCAATAAAAATATTTTAAAAATATTTTTGTAATGGGGCAACATTTTTTTAACGGAATAAAAAAAAAAGGGGAAATTAAACAAAATAATTTTGGACTTTATGCCAAAAAATCGGCGTTTCCGCCCAATGTGGAATGGCTGCCTTGTCTCCAACGCGTTCCAGTTTAACCATGATCGCTGTGTCGACCACAGTAGTTGTCGCGTTTCGCCGTGTTGTTCTATAAATTTTGCTTCTCGCACATTGTCAGCTAGTGAGCAAAAGTGGGCTCCCATAGAAAAGGAACTTTTAGCAATAGTGTTTGCTTGTGAAAAATTTCATTTTTTTCTATATGGAAGACAATTTACTGTTCACTCTGATCATAAGCCATTAGAAGGATTAGCAAAGAAAGATATTGATGACGTAACCCCACGATTACAGAGGATGTTTGTTTTTCTTTTGCGTTATACGGGCATCAATATTGTCGGGGGCCTCATAGCCTAGCAGTTAGTGTACTAGCTCGCTAAGCGTGAGGTCGTGGGTTCAATCCCCACTCATGACTCGCTTATGACCTCGTACTTTTGATTCTTTGATGCGTGAGCTGGAGCAATTGGAAAAATTCTTTGGAAATTTTTCAGTTTGCAACAGCGCACGTGCCAAAGATTCGAAAGCGGCACGCCCAGTGGCCGATAAGGTGGCAGCCCCACCAATGGGATAAGTCGCATACGGCCAATCACCGGATCGATCGAAAACACAAACGATTACCGAAAACGAAGCAAGCGAAATGAATCACACCCCCCCAACCCGATGACGACCATCCGCATATCGAAACGGACACGAATTGGACAATGGAACGTGAGGACTCTAATGGAACCATCCAGACTGGCGCAGTTTGAACTGGAGATGGACAAATTGCAGATCTCAATTGCTGGCATTAGTGAGATGAGATGGAAAGGAAGTGGAGCAACAACAACATCAAATGGCAATTCAGTGTTGCATAGCGGAAACAATGATGGCGGCAGGAACGGAGTAGGGATTTATGTGTCCAAAAGATACAAACAGACACTAATCTCCTGGAACCCGATATCCGATAGAATCATCATGGCCAGATTCCGATGCAGCGCTAGACACATCACCATCGTGCAATGCTATGCCCCGACGGAAGACGCCAGCGATGACATCAAAGACGACTTTTACAACTCCCTCACATCCACACTCACAAGGATCCAAAGAGGCGACATCAAAATTCTCATGGGTGACTTCAACGCTAAGATCGGCCCCAACAACACCGGACTGGAACCAGTCATGGGTCGGCACGGCGTTGGCTCACGTAGCAATAATGGAGATAGGCTGATCGACTTAGGCCAGACATCCCAAATGGTCATTGGAGGCACTGTGTTCCCACATAAGGAGGTACATAAATACACATGGACGTCCCCAAATGGTCTCTCAAGAAACCAGATAGACCATATCTGCATAAGCAAAAAATGGAGGAGCTCGATGAAGGATGTACGCAACAAGAGAGGCGCGTCAATTGACAGTGACCACGAATTAGTAGTCGGAGAGCTCTCAATCAAGCTCAGACGAAAACGCACTGTCAATAGAACCACAAACAGACCACCACCACTAAACGTACATCGTCTTGGCGACCCCACCCTATCCGCCAGAATGGCAACAACGCTACGAGAACAACTGATGCCACTACAACCAACGCACCCATGGGAACAAACATGCAGATCACTGAGGAACACCGCTGAGGAGTTGCTCGGCACCAGGCAACCAAGGCGCATCGACTGGATATCAACTGAGACATGGAACCTTATCAACAGACGGAATAACCTCAAGCAAAGAGCTGACCACGACTGTAGAGCACGCGCGGAACACAGTGAGCTATGCAGGATGGTGAAGAAATCAGCCAGAAACGACAAGAGAGCCCTATTGAACAGACTCGCAGATAGTGCGGAAAGTGCAGCCAATGCCAACAACATGCGCTTGCTGTATCAAATTATTGGGAAATTATCCGGATGTCACCAAATAAGGCAAACCCAGCCAGTGCGAGATTCCGACGGTGCACTTCTCACGGACGACGATGCCCAAATCCAGAGATGGCGACGACACTTCATGGAAATTAGCTACACTGAACACCCAAGCAGCCCACATGAGGAAGAACCCAGAAGTATCGAGCCCAACACCACCAACACCAGGATCTCGCCCACGCCTCCCACTGTGAGAGAAATACGAGATGCGATCAGGAAATTGAAGAGCAACAAAGCAGCCGGAGATGACGGTATACCCGCCGAACTTCTCCAGACTGACTCTCAACTAATAGCCGAAACACTGCATCCGCACTTCTAAGCAATATGGGATAACGAGCGAGTTCCTAAAGCCTGGAAAAAAGGGATCATTATCAAATTACCTAAGAAAGGAGACCTCAGTGACTGCAACAATTGGCGAGGAATTACCTTACTGAACACAAGTTATAAGATCTTAGCTACCCTGCTGAACGAGCGCCTGATGGACAAGATTGAGCCAACACTTCGGGATGAACAAGGAGGATTTAGACCACACAGGAGCTGCGTAGACCAAGCCAACACCCTACGCGTAATAACCGAACAAGCTGTGGAATGGCGTTCGCCGCTGTACCTCCTGTTCATCGACTTCCAGAAGGCCTTCGACTCAGTAGACAGAGTGGCGATATGGCGGGCACTTGCAAGGAAGGGAGTGCCAACAAACATCATAAACATAGTGAAAGCTATGTACGATGATGCGGACTTGGCGGTACTGCACAACGGAAAAATTAGTGCACCCTTCCAGACAAACATTGGCCTCAAGCAAGGTTGCCCCCTATCGCCGCTCCTGTTCAACCTGGTAATAGATGAAATCATGAGAAAAGTGAGCAAGTCCAGACGCGGGATCATATGGAGCTTCACCCGACACCTGGAAGACCTGGACTACGCAGACGACATTTGCCTCATGTCTCATAGACTCACGGATATCCAAGCCAAAGCAGATGACCTCGAAAGTCGAGCAAAATCAGTGGGTCTAAACATCAATGCCGCCAAAACAAAAGCAATGCGAGTCAACAACACCAATCAAGGCAACATCACCATTAGCGGCAAAAGCGTTGACTTCGTCGATAGCTTTGTCTACCTTGGCACCCTAATAACAGGGAATGGAGGAGCCGAGCAAGATATGGAGAACCGACTAAGCAAAGCTAGATCGGCATTTGGAAGATTGCACCGCATCTGGAGAAACACGCAGTTAAATAGAAGATCTAAACTGCGAATCTTCAATGCGTGTGTCAAATCAGTACTGTTGTACGGCTCAGAAACGTGGCTGACCTCCCAACGAATGTTGATGAAACTACAAGCATTCGTCAACAAATGCCTCAGAATTATATGCGGCATATTCTGGCCTGCCAGAATAAACAACAATGATCTGTGGCATGACACAGGAGAGGTCCCCATCCACCAACAAATAAGGAAGAAAAAATGGAACTGGATTGGCCACGCTCTTAGGAAAAACCACGACAGCATCACTAGGACAGCGCTAGATTGGAACCCACAGGGAAGTAGGAGAGTGGGACGCCCCAAGCTGACCTGGCGCCGGACAACACTACAGGACATGTCCCGGATAAACACCTCCTGGGACTCCATAAAACAGACAGCGCCGAACAGAGTCCGATGGAGATCGCTTGTAGAAGCCCTAAGCTCCCAAGAGGAGTAACAAGGAAAAAAAAAAAAAAAAAAAAAAAAAAATATTGTTTATAAGCCTAGGAAGGAGCAACTGGTGGCAGATTGTCTTTCAAGAGCACCATTGGAGTCAGCTGAAGTAAGCTTAACAGCTGAGGATTTGTCAATTATGATTCACAGTATAATTCGGAATGCTTGTCAATGTAAAGAGAACTGGGAAATATATCAAAAAAAGCTTAAAGAAGATCAGTTCCTTAGCCGAATTGTTCAGTATGTCGAAAATGGTTGGCCTGTGTATCATAAGTTAGACGAAAGAAGCCAGATATTTCATAAATTTAAAGATGAAATGCATTATGAAAATGGATTATTGTTCAAAAATCACAAACTGGTAGTACCATCGTCCTTGCAGCCAATCATAGCCAAACTTTTGCATGGTCCTCATGTAGGAATTGAAAAAACAATCGCGCGTGGCAGGCAACAATTTTTTTGGCCAGGGATGACAACAGACCTAACAGAATTGGTTAAGGGATGTACAGTTTGCGAAAAGTTTACCAGGAACAATCAAAAAGAACCATTAAGGCAATCAGACGTCAATGGGACGTCAAATCAAAACACGATTACCTATTTGTAATTCGATACTGCATAGAAATAATATACCGGAATCGCAAATACAAGAGAAGTTAGTTATTAAACAAGAAAAAAAGAAAATTTATTTTGATAAAAATGCAAAAACATTACCAATATTAGAAATAAATGATGAAGTAAAATTTAAGAAAAACTCAAAAGAATGGTGCTATGGAATCGTAATTAAACGCCATAATGATAGATCTTATATTATTAGAGAGCCCTCTGCAAAGCATTTTAGAAGAAACAGAAAATATATTGTAAAAATGTTTGAAAATACAAACAAAAATAATTTAAATAAAAAAGAAAATGTTAATGAAGTCGCTCCACCTAATTGTATATTTGATAATATTCCCAAGGAATTTTTTAATAATCTAAACGTACTTAAAGAAACAGAGATTACAGAAACGCTCAGAGAAACTATTGGGTTGGCAAGAAAGTTTTTGTTTTCGTTTTTTTTAGTAATCGTTTTTAATCTAATTTATTTACTACTAATCGAGCACCAGGGTCACACTTTTTAGTATCGTTTTAAATCTTATTGTCTAAGGTACTATCGACGAAAATTTGGTAATTATTCGATAACATTTGTGGAAGCTATAGCAAATTAAACATGGAGGACCAATGTGAGCATTTTCGGCAAATTTTGCTTATTTACTTCCGAAAAGGAAAAAAAGCGGTCGAAGCTCGCGAAAAATTGTGCGAAGTGTATGGTAAAGATGCCATGAGTGATCGCCAACGTCAGCGCTGGTTTGCCAAATTCAGGCTTGGAGATTTTGGAGTTAAAGACGCCCCACGTTCTGGTCGACCATCGGCTGTTTTTGACGAACAAATTCAGGCTTTGTTGGATGAAAATCGGCGTTATTCAACGCGGGAGATGTCAGAGAAGCTCAAAGTGTCGCATACCACGGTTGAAAACCATTTGAAGAAACTTGGCTACGTAGGCAAGCTCGATAACTTAAAGAAAATTCACCTAACTAAGCGAATCAACATCTGCTATTCTCTGCTTGAACGGATTAAAAACGATCCTTTTTTGAAGCGGATCATTACTGCGACGAAAAGTGGGTTGTTAACAATAATGTCCAAGGAAAAAGATCATGGAGCAAGAAAGATGAGCCAGCCCAAGCCACATCAAAGGCCGATATCCATCAGAGGAAAGTTATGCTGTCTGTTTGGTGGAATTGGAAGGGTGTAGTGCACTTTGAGCTGCTGGGACGGAATGAAACCATCAATTCAGATGTGTACTGTCGCCAGCTATTTAATTTGGCGGAAAAAATTAAAGAAAAGGAGCCGGCACTAGCTAATCGCAAGGGTATAGTCTTTCACCATGACAACGCTAGGCCCCACACATCTTTGGTCACTCGGCAAAAATTAACGGAGCTGAATTGGGAAGTGCTACTACATCCACCTTATAGTCCGGACTTAGCACCTTCAGATTACCATTTGTTTCGCTTTCTTCAAAACTCTTTGAATGGTAAAAACTTTGATTCAGATGAGGCTGTCGAAAACCACTTGTCTCGATTCTTTGCTGGAAAAGACCAAAAGTTCTTCGAGCGCGGAATTATGCAGCTGCCCGAGAGATGGTCATTAGCGACATAACTTTCTTGCCAACCCAATAGATGTATTATCCGGCCGCCGGTTTTCAACCAGCAAAGCCTAAATTTGTCCGTCAAAAACGGCCGATGGTCGACCAGAGCGTGGGGCGTCTTTAACTTCAAAATCTCCAAGCCTGAATTTGGCAAACCAGCGCTGACATCGGCTATCACTCATGGCATCTTTACCATACACTTCGCACAATTTTTCGCGAGCTTCGACCGCTTTTTTTCCTTTTTGGTTGTTCACTTTGATCCTCCATGTTTAATTTGCTATAGCTTCCACAAATGTTATCGAATAATTACCAATTAGTACCTAAGACAATAAGCTTTAAAACGATACTAAAAAGTGTGACCCTGGTGCTCGATTAGTCGTAAATAAATTAGATTAAAAACGATTACTAAAAAAAACGACATGACTTTCTTGCCAACCCAAAATAATTAGTCTTAAGTGATCTACCAATAAAGCAACATTTCGTACATAAAACAATTACTGAAAAGGCTCGTGCCATGGTAAATGGTGCAAAGTTAGATAAATATTTTTGGGGTTAAACTGTGTTGACAGCAACATATAAGTTAACACCGGCCAAGCGCCCCCTTCTCCTCATCGCCTCTCGACCCGGATACCAGACACTACGACTTCCCTCAACCAACTTGACGACCAGCAGAGACGCAGCAGAGACCAAACGACAGCGGCAGAACGACAGTGTAACGACAGAACGCCAGAATTGCAACGGCAGTAACGTGAGAATGGAGGAGGAGTGACCGCCGCTAGCTGCCTCAACAATAGCTGCCGCTACCCCTTCCAATCGCCGCGGCTAATCGAATATCATCCGAAGTTTAGCAACACGTCAGCCCAAATATCCGGAAGCGCTGCTATCAGCAGCGCGACAATGGAAGGGCACTGACCGATCGCTAGCTGTCTCAACCATACCCCAGCCCACAAACGGAAATACAACGCTAGCACCTGGAGTATGGCAACACTTTGGCCCAGAACCGCTGTTGTCAGCATCGGATTGCGGCAACCGCTCTGCCAGCTTATGCAGTCAACAAGCCACGCTAATTATATTTTAAGATCACTTCTATTTGTACCCCCGAAGCAGCAAGTTGACGATTGGTGCACGAATAAACGATTTATAACGTTAAAGCTCATATTGTTTAATTAAAACTCATACAACAAAAATTCAAGACATAGAAGGAAGGACGAAGGGAGCAAGGACCACAAGGATGCAGATAACGCTCATTAGGTAATATTCAGGGGAATACTTCCCCTACTGGTCATGTCAGGCCATAACTACTGGTCATGTCTGGCCATAACTGGCGCCCGAGCAGATTTTACTTTCTCTCGAAAGTGGGACCCAAGAACCACCCGACAAACAAAAAGGAAAGAAAAAAATTGTGAAAATTTCGTTAATAATTAAAAAGTAAAATATTTTAATAAAAAGCGTTG